TTTTAAAAATCATTATTTTCAAAATTTTGCATAACTTTCGCCTAAACTCGGAGCTTGTCTTTACCATTTAATCATGTTTTACGTATAAACTGTTTTGTTTGAATTCGTAAAAAAATTAAAACTTGATCGTACATGTATGATTAAAAAATGTATTTTTTTTCTTATTATTTTATATTTATTGGATTATATTTTCAAATATATACGACTTTTTCACGTTTTAGTACATTTATATATTGATTAACAAAATTTTAACATTATTTAATTAAATATTAAACAATTTTATTATTGCGGTTATCAGTGACTATCCTAGCTGACTTAATATCTTGAATTCGCCACTGAGAACTGCATACCAAAAACATGCCGCCAATGTGTTTTTTCAAGGGGACTAATAACCAAAAACTGAATTTAATTTTATACATAATTTTTTTTTACTCCGATTTAGTACACCAGTGATGACAGCATGCAATAGTAAGTCCGTCTGTCTGTCTTCATCTCCGGGAAAACTTGGACCACAAGTAAACAACGAAGAAACACAAAAGCGCAAAAAGAACAACATGCATTACATGATTCGATCCTTCTCTGATGATGCTTTTGTTGAGTCTCCTCATGTTGTTTTTGACCCCTGCCTGAGCTTTGATCATTGTCATTTGCTGTACAGGCAAAATCGTCAGGGGGAGACCTTTTTATTATGACCAAACAATCCAAAACTATTATACATCTAATATTATATTAGTCAAGGATGATAAATAGAATAAAACAATAGAAAATAATATCAACCAACAAAAGAAATGACATACTGATAAATGAGACCCTTGTATAGAAGAAGGGATGTTATTTCCATTATATGACTTCTTCCTGTTATCATATCAATGTCCATTGGTTCTAGCCCATAAAACTATGGAATTTCTATTTTCCAAACGACAAAGTAAACCCTTAGTTGCATTTCCTAGGTATAAATGTACTTGATAAGTAAAGTTTACGAAAATGGGTGCAGAAAGGGCATAACCCTTACACTTTGGAAAATTATCAGCAACAAGAACAAGTCAAGCACGAAAAACAAATCCTCTTCCAAGAAAATAAAGAGTGTTATTAACACGATATAAAAACGATTTTATAAATAAATCCAAAACAAGCTCATAGTAATCCCCAGGTAGCATTTTGCGTTTTCCCTCCTCTTCAAGGAATTTCGTTCTGCACAGTCTAGTCCGTATAATCTGTTGGATTCATTTTGTTTTTGACTTGATTCTGCCTTCATTCATCTAGTTTTTTATTCTGTTGGTACTGTAAGAAGTGATTTTTTTATGGAAAAGGATAACCTCATCAAGTTGATTATGGGAACAGCAGTCATCAAGTATAGCATTAACACGCTATTTTAGTACTTGAAATTTGAAAACCAGTATGATCATTCATTATTTTTTACCATAGATGTAACAAGTTGGGTCAAATTCAATCCAAAATGGAAAGGAAAAAAAAATCTTGTCAATTGTAGCAGTAAAAAATTATCTCTGCATAAAATATAGAGTAAAAATGGTCAATAATGATATTGCTACCACACAATCCACAGACAAATCCAGCAATCAGATGAAGCAAAAAGTTCAGTTCAAACTCAGGGAGTGTGTAGTAGATAAAATACCAGCTGATTAAGGAAATCATTCTGGAACTTTGCTTCTGACTCAATCTCTCGAGCTACCTGCAATACTGTTTGTGTAAACAAGAGTCCAGAAACATAGAAAGACAAAATTTAATATGGCGCCGAAAATACCACATGAACTCACTGTGCTCGTGTGTATTAGCAACAAGTTGCATATTGAGTGAAAGCTAAGCGTTCCAAAATAATGGAGCGAAAAAAGAAAATCTAGTCAGTAATACATTCATATACATGTTTAAAAAATCCTCAGAATATAATATTAAACAATCCACAAAATAAGAAACATAATCATATAGTAGCAATGTCATTAAGAATAATAGCAATATCAATAAGGTGGAAACCAAGGAAAAAATTAACTTGTAGAAGAGAAGCAACCCAAGTTATTATCAGATTTACCAAATGGGCAGGGTAAATCACAATAACACTGGTAGGCAGCATCTAATGGACTTAACTGTGAATAAGCTGGGAAAGAACATAACTTAGTTACCTCACCTCGCTTTACCATTAATAATTTCCCCTTGACCCCTCATTATTTCTTGCAAATTCATAAGTTAAAATAAAGGAAATTCAAAATCCACAAGATCTTGCATCCAGCTTCTAGAACAATGCATTCATACTATACCTAAGCCAAGAGCAAGTTTTGATCTCTCACGTGATTTTTTATAACTGAAATCCCATTCTCCTTATTATATTCTTTCTTCAACAAACCACCCACTCAACTCTTTCCCCTTTCTTGTTTTCATGCAAGATACATCTACTAAAACTGTTTTCATAATAGAAATCATGCAATGCGTCATAGAATCAGAATCATTCGCAACAACAATATGCTGTGTGATCCATTCTGTTTACAGGGAAGGACACACAATAATTCCAGAAATGATTTAGAAGATATTATACTGTCTTTGATCTAAAATTCTGGGAATAAGGCTTGGACCAACAACTTTATTTCATTTTGCCAAATTCATAATGAATTCTTCCTTGAGAAATACACGTGATCGTGTGATATCATACACCGAAAAATCTATCTCAGAAGCTTCATGTGTATTAAACACTAGCCTTAGATTTGTCACCATAACGATGTTTCACCAACATTTGCTGCTTAAAATTAGCCCTAGCATTAATTAGAGAGCTTTTGGATTTTCTTGACACTTCATCTGAATCCTGTGTTTTTAGTTTAACAAGCCGCAAGGATTCCCAGACAATAAGTGATTTTTTTTAGTTGATGCGCAAAGAGCTGGATTTCGCAAATACCCTGACATACATATACAGATGCGAAGGCATGTGTATTAAATTTACAATCTCCAAGAACTATATAGTCTTTATATTGGACATGCAGTTGCTTCAGTTAAAAATAATATATGCCTTTTGCTATAATTACAACTAAGGAAATTACCAATCATCTTCACAGACCACAGCTCATACAAGAAAAGGCTGAAGTAGCCCAGGGAATCATGACATCCATGTCACTGATTTAACTCCTGAACAAATCTTATTAATAGTTAACAGGTATCAGATCACTGCTTACTGGTATGATTAATCAATTTCACTCTAAGATGATCACTGGGGTAAACCCTAATTGCAGAGAATTTCCCAATTACAGACATATTTTTTGGCATCAACTCGCAATTTTAACAGAGTTAATACACATTCACATAGGCATGTATTTATGCCTTCATCCCACGCAGTTAGGCAAATACCACACAAACATGCGTATACATTCATAATTCGGAACATACATACACACATAGAGAAATTTCATGCACTTAGAAAGACACCTTACATCTCTTAGTTGTCGAACTTGCTTGTGAAGACCGGTGAGTTCCTCATCGAGGTCGGCATGAATCGGATCAATTCGCAACTGAATTTCATCAGAGTTACCACCCACTGCTGCTGGCCTCGTGCTTAATCCTTGTCTGTTTCAATTATTAACATTAATAAAGAATAATAAAAATAACTCTCAAATAGATAAAATTCATTTTATGAAATACCTCGATCTGTACGAAGCAGCCATTGATTGAGCCCGAAATTATGAAATTGCGAAAACTGAAAAATAAGGAGAAGTTTTGTGTAAATTAAGAACAGCAAAATAGGGATTGAGCCCGAAATTATGAAATTGTGAAAACTGATAAACAAGGAGAAGATTTGTGAACAGATAGGGGTTTGCAATTGTTAAATGGTCGGGGTTATTTTTGAATTTCCCCTTTTCTTAGGCAAGTAAACAACTGAGGGCTATAGGCATTGGTAGTCATCCAACTTTTCATATTTTTTCAGTTTTGCCATCGAATTCTTACATTGTTACAAATGAGTCACTGTACTTTGAATGCCCCTTCCCAACTAGCAAAAGCCGTAGTTGACTCGTCTTAAAAAGAACAGGCCTATGGTGAAACTTGAGTTGCTTCACTTTGAGATTGAGTGCTCAATATTTTATTTTAATTTAGAATTTCTTCTAAGAAATGATGTCATGACTTGAAAAGAATGGTGTGTGCGTTAATTTTAGTCTGATATGTCAAAGACGTAGCTTCTTGAAACTTTTTTGATAGTAAGTATAACTTATCCAACGATACCTCTTTCAATGTGGATTTATTTAAACGATAAAAATATCACGGTGACAGAATTTCCTTACCGAATTACTATCTCCTCAACCATGATACAATTTCTATTAATTCAATAGGTTCCACACATTTCGTGAAAGCTTACAAGTAGTTTTTGGTTATTCATCGCCTTTTTATCTACTTATAATTTCGGCCCATCTTCAAGTTAGATTAATGCCATGTTTCATGAATGTGGAAATTGCACCAACCAGGTTTTTCAACTTCTTATTTCAAAATTCAAGTTTAATAATTATCTATAATCTATTAAATATCGTATCAAGTGGGAATCATTTTCTGGACGATTTTAGCCATACTACAATTTAATTATTTCAATAGTACCTTACTTTTCATTTTTCAAGATATATTTAATTGAATATTAATTATTAAATATGCACACAAATAAATAATAGAATTGCATGAGAACAATCAAATTGATTCATGGACGTGGAATTTAATTAATTTAAATCAATGAATATAAAAAACGAATAATGTATCTACATTTAAACAAATGGGGTGTGTGTGAACTAACATGAAATTTAATAGTTTACATGCCACGTGTCCAATATAATAGTTCACAAATCACATATCATATTGCTTAGATCACAAATCTTTGGATTAATATCAAATGCAACAGTTTATATATCACATGTCACATATAACAATTCACGTGTCACGTGTTATAGCGCTTAGATCACATATCACAGAAATCTGGTCACAGGCCATTGGATAAATATCTCAAGTAATAATTAATCTTTTCAATTTCCCTCACAATTTTATAGAACACATTTTTTCAATGGATGTTTTCAATATCATAGTCTACATGCCAATGAATCTTTTCAATTTTCGTCACAGCAACTCACGATTGGAGTTTCAACAACAATATTCAATCAGCAAGATTTCAACGGTGGGAATCGAGATTATGTGCTCCAAAGAGTTTTCTATAACTTTTCTATTTTATTCTATCGTCACAATTTGTTAAATTGGATAATTCTGCTTGGAATAAAAACATGCCGTAACTGAATGCTTGATTTTATGATGGATAATATTATATGCTAATTTATATATTCACCTTACTTTTGAGTGTTTAAAGATAGTTTCTTAAAATTGAAATGGTATAAAATAACATCTCATGTATTGTTCCCGGATGTGGAAATTAGTAGTTGCCTATCCTTTGAGACAATTGTTTTAATATTTGATGAAGGCCCAATTCCCAGCCTTGGTACCATTAAACCCCGACATCTCTTTGAAGACAAAAATGTCAAGAATATAGTCACTTAAATATGTTGGTGCTAAGTAGTATTACAATTTGATTCTGGACAAGTTTATTTTAAGGTGGGTTCTATAAACAAACCTATTAATTAGGTGGATTCTATGTCTAACTAACATATTAACTAATTAGGTAATTAGGTGGCTCCCAGGGCACGTCTCCAAGTAGTAAAAGGGGAAGATGAAAAAACTCCAACTTCACTTGAGGCTGCCTCGTCAAGGGTTCGAATCCTGAAATATGGATTTGGCCATTGAGTTACGTAAGTGCAAGTGCATAAGTAGCCTTCCACCATATACCCTTGGAGGCATAACCTGCAATTTACCTCTTTCATCAAGGCCCAAGGCAGGGCAGGTGGGGGCCGCTAAGGATGTGATTCATCCTTTTTAATTAGGTAATTAGGTGGTAATTAATATGTGTCACGAAGTAATTACAATTGGCTATTAAATTTATCAAATTCATTTATGTTTGAATTGAAGTATAAGTCTTTAGTAATTTTATTCAAAAGAAATTCAAATGTTCTTCAAACTACGTATTATTGTTTGATATTCTAATCTATTGAGTTTAAAGTTAGTTCTGTCAAAAAGATTATAACTAAACGTTGATTTGAATATATGTTGTATCTTGAAATCCGAATGTCTGATTATCATGTTAGCACTTGGTTCAGGTTTCAAAATTTATCTTAAACCCCTGTTTGACACACATTTTTATAAAATATATTATTTCAAAACTCATTTTCAATTGTACATTTTTCAATAAAATAATATTTTTCATCACATCAATGATTTTTCTTTACTTTTTAATCACATATTTTTCATCATATTACTATTTAAAATATATTATTTTCTCAATAATATCCATCAATTGTTAACACCCTAGAAGAAATTCAAGATTTTTTCATAATTATTCTATTCTAATCTAATCTATTGTTTTGATTGTCAATTCGGAGAAGTTTGGAGAAAGAAACGGCCCAACCCCAGTGGGCCCACCAAAATGAACAGAAGACATAGTGGCTGCTGTTCAGCGAAACTCAACCAAACGATATGACTAACCGTGTGGGCCATATAATTAAAACACGCCGCATAACCACCCAATCAAAACTCAGTCGATTTTAACGCCCAGCCACGTGGCAAACCCTATTAACGGCCCAACTAATGATGCCACTAATACCCTACTTGAGTCGGCCACGCATCCCACTCTTCCTTTCCGCTCAAAGGCCATGTTTGGATTGAGCAATTTAAAAATGACGTGAAAAATGATATTTTTGGTTCCCCTCCATAGTTCTGTTAGTTCAATGTTGACATTCAAATCTCTACAATCTCATTTGCTTATGCATTACGTGCACAATTTGACACCATTAACTTGCAAAAACCATTGCTAAATTGGGGTTTTGACGTCTGTTTGCACTTCGACAAGTCAATGAAAATATGTAATCGGACGTGAAAGAAATAAATGAATAAGATTTTGTTTAGGGTTTCATTTTTCATACATTTTCTTTGACTCTACATGAAGTATTTATAAGAAAATAAATTGGTAGGTATTTTTGACTTTTCATTACCTTTTGAACACATATAGCCCATATTTGGTACACATTAAAAATTTCATTCTCATTTTTCTACTCAGAGCCTGTTTGTCTACCATTATTGGTAGAAAAATGGAGTAAGGAATAATATTTTTTGGAGAATGTGTGGTTGAAATTTAAAGTAACTTTATTGGTTTGTGTGTGGAATATTTTATTGAGTGAATATGTGGTTGAGATTGTTTACTGTAGAAAACAATGTTTGTAAAAATGGTGGACAAACAGGGGCTCATTTTCAACTATACATTTTTCAATAAAATAATATTTTACATCACATCAATAATTTTTCCTTCTTTTTTAACCACACGTTCTCCATCAATATACTATTTCAAAACATATTCTTTCAAAATAATGTGGCTCAAACACACACATAGATTCCACGTGATTCGATCGTTGTCACAATTTGACCCCGTTTGATTCTTTTTCTCTTAATAATGACTTTCTCAGTTTCTCACATATGCTAAGCTCCTGTTCGTTTCACATTGTTTTAATTTGAAAATGAATTTTTTACCATTTTTTTTAAAAAAAAGTGGGAACTCTAAAAGAGAAAGTGGTCAAACATTGCGGCTCACCAACTGTAACGACGGTAAAAATTCTGCTTAAAATTGGAAACAAACAGGGGCTAATTATTGAATGACTTGACAATACACGAGTCTCGTTAGCGTTATACTAGCGTAAAAGATTTTTTTGTCTAATCTGTTATGTAAAAGAGGATGTTATATTTTGCAATAAGATTAAACTATTAACAAAATTAAAATTTCAAGGACGAATCTAGAGGGGGGGAAAAATCAAAATTTAAGCTGCTAAAATGAAACTTCCCTCAAAGTCAGCGACTTCTAGTGTTTCTTACGTTATGTGTATAATTTTATTTTGTGGTACCAAACGTGCCCCAATAGCGAATATCCGAATCAATTGGAACTGGCTTCGTTCCTTCTCCGTGTTGAATTATATTTTTCAATATTTATATATTTTATTCCAGTTCCCCCAAACAATCCTATAAATAGGACTCGTCTGTTTAGGTTCGAAGGTGCCAGTAAAATCCCTCTCTCTCTCTCTCTCTCTCTCAGCTTTCCTTTCTCTCATTAAAGTTTCCCTAGCATGACTCCAAACTTGAATTCGAACAACAGTACCAACTGTAAACGAAAAATCAAATTTCTCTACAGTTATGGTGGAAAAATCGTCCCTCGTCCTATTGACGGCAAACTTCGTTACGCCGGTGGCTCCAACCGAGTTCTGTCCGTCGATCGGTCAATAAAATTTGCAGGTTCGTTCGTTAAATTGTTTCTGTTTATCAATTAGAAGTTTTTGAATTTTCTGGAAGAGACTGATGTAATTTTGGAATTCATACAGAGCTGATGGTGAAACTTGAAGAGTCGTGTGGAGACTCGATGAAGTTGAAGTGTAAGCTACCGAGCGAAGATTTAGATGTGTTGGTTTCGATCACTTGTGACGAGGATCTGAAGAATGTGATCGGAGAGTACGATCGTCTTTCGCCGGAAACAAAAATCACAGCCGTGCTATTTCCAATCGAACCATCAAAGAAAATCTCTTATCCGTCTTCTCCGATGTCGTGTTTT